CGAGCGGGAGGCGGGCAGTTTTCCCGCCGAGCTGGCTGCGAGCTGGCTGGAAACCGGGCTTTCTGGACGTGGAGCCGGCTGCTTCTGTAGGCGGAGTGTCACCTGGCAGACAGGGTGACTCGGAGAACTAATTAACATGCAGGGTCACTTCCCGCACGTCCAGCACGGTGGCACGTGCCGAGAGCCGTGCTGGGACCTGAGGACACCTCTGCCCGCAGAGCCCGGCCTCCCGCCCGCGGGCACTCGGAGCGACAGCCTGGGCCGGCTGCTGCTCATGGAACAGGCGCCGTGGCTGTGGCGCAGCCCACAGCGCTGCGCCTTCGCAAACGCTGTCCCCGTGGCAGGGTGGGACGCACCCTGTGTCCCTCAGGCAGCATCTCCCCGAAGCGGAGCAGATGACGGTCTCGGTGGGGACACCAGGCCGCCTCCAGCCTGGCGCTGCTGTGAACAGTCACGGGCACGTCTGCTCACGCACACACGCTGCCCTGCTCGTGGGCACACACCGAGCGGGGAGCCCGGACGGATGAGCGAATGGTCAGCGCAGAGAGCCGCCACGTCTGGCTGTCACAGGGCGAGTCCCATGAACTCGGGAGGCTCCATGCTCTGCTTCCTACCACGAGCTGGTATCACGGACTTTAAAAAGGTTTTAGCCAATCGAGTGGACATGAAGTTGTTGCTCTTTATGGTTTTATGCTGTATTTCCCTAATGAACAACGGTTTGGCACCTTTGATGCCTTTATTGGCCATTATATCTTTTTTTATGAAGTATCCGCTCAAAACTTTTACACGTTTGTGTCGGGTTGCTTGCCTTTTTTTCTTTTCCATCGTTAGTAAGGTATAACTGACGGTGTCGGGTTGCTTGCCTTTTTTTCTTTTCCATCGTAAGGTATAACTGACCAACGATAAGCAGTACACGTTTGTTCTGACATAGGCATCCGCTCACGAAGCCATCGCCAGAGCCACGGCAGTCAGCGCACCTGCCACCCCGACGGTTTCCTCACGCCCCGCCCTGACGTCCCCTCCACTCCGCCCCACGCACACCCTCAGGCGACTCCTGATGTGCTTCTGTCCCTTCGACGCTGGTTTGTGTTTTCTAAAAGTTTGTATAAATGTATTTATCACAGTGTGTGCTCTCTCTTCTGTCCTTCCGTCGGAACGATTATTTTGAAACTCCTCCACGTGCTGCCTGCATCGATGGTTCATTCATTTTCACTGCCAGGTAGCATTCCAATCATGGACCAAACAGAATCTGTTATTCACTCGTTGATGGGCGTTTGCGTTGTTTCTAATTGTTGGCAATGACTATTAAAGCCTCTGTGAACATCCATATACAAGTTCTCCGATGGACAAAGCTGTCACTTATCCTGGGCAGGAGCGGGAAGCCTGGGTCAGAGGTGAGGTGTGTGTTTAATCCCTTAGGGAGTCGTGGAGTGTCGTCCAGAGCAGCTGTGCCCCTTCCACCCCCACCAGTGGCGTTGGATGGCTCCCAGTGCCTCGCCTCCTTGCCGACATGTGGTGGGTCAGTTTGTAAAATTTTAGCCGTGCTTATAGGTACGCGCTGGCATCTCGTTGCTTCCATTTTAATTTCCCTCATGAACAATGATGTTGAACATGTCATGGGCCTTATGTAGCGCTCATTTATTTTCTTTGACGAATTGTCTTTTCGAATCTTTTGCTCAAGTTTATATTTGCCTGCTTTTTTCTTTTTAATGAGTTTTGAGTCCCTTATACATTCTGAAGAGGAGTATTTTTTCAGGTGCATTATTTGCAAATAGTTTTTTCCCAGTCTGTGACTTGTCTTTTCATTCTCCTAACAGTATCTTTTAAAGAAGAAAATAATTAAATTTTGATGAAGTCTCATTTATCAAATTTTCTTTATGGCTTGTGCTTTTGGTGCCGTACCCCCGATCGGTTTGGGGCAGATGGCCGTCCTGCCACCATAGGTCTTCTGGCACGTGGCCATGGGACACCTATCTCCGTTCGTTACGGCCGGAATTACTCTCATCAGCGTTTTGTTTTTGTTTTTTTTTTAATTTCAGTGTAAGCCTTACATATATTTTGTTAGATTTATCCTTAACTGTTTAATAAATGTTGATGCTTCTCTCAATATTTTTAAAATCTCAATATCTAATTGTTGCTGGCATATAGAAATACAATTGGCCTTTGTATATGACTTTGCATTCCATAGCATTGCTACGTCTTCGTTTTAGTAGCTTTTTTGCAGACGCCACTGAACTTTCTACAAGGGTGATCGTGCGATCTGAACGCCTCTTAGTTCTTTCTCTTGTTTCGTTGCCTGCCTGGTGAACAGAGGAGAAGACGCCCTGGTCTAATTCCAGATTTTCGGTACAAAGCATTCAGTCCTTCCTCATTCAGCGTGATGGCGGTTAGGGTCCCATCGTGAATGGAGGTTGGCTTTTGTCAAATGCTTTTTCTGTGTCTATTACGGCTATCATATAGTTTTTCTTTTCCTTCTTAATATGGCAAGTTATATGGGGTAATTTTCAAATGTAACCAACCCTGTATTTATTCTGAATAAATCTCCCTTGAGCATGATGCATTATCCTTTCTTATACATTGTTTGATTTGATGTGCTAAAAATAAGTTTAGAATTTTTGTTTCTATCTTTCTAATGAATAATTATCTGTAGTTTTTCTTTTAATATCTTTCCTTACATGATTTTGATCTTTTGACACTTACTGAGACTTATTTCATGGCCCAGCATATGCTCTACCTTGGGGAATACTCTAAATGTGTTTGAAAAGAATGTGTATCGAACAGTTCTCAGGTATATCATTCTATAAATATCAATTAGGTTAAGTTGGTTGATGATGATGTTAAAATTTTCTATATCCTTACTATTTTACCTCTTTGTATAATTAGTTCCTGAGAAGAGAGTTAAAATTTCTAAAAAATGATTGTGGACTTCTACATGTATCTTTTCAGTATTCTCATATTTTTGCTTTATGTACACGCAGCTCTGACATCAGGCTCATGGAAAGACTTCCCTGTCACCTAGCAAATTGACTATTTACTCGTTATAAAATGTCTCCGACTACACTTCTTCAGCTGGCGAATTCTGGTCGCCTCCCATGCCCGGCCGCTGAGAAGCCCTCCCCGGCCTCGCCGCCGCCGTGGAGCAAACGCCCCTTGCTCGCCGCGGCACCTGCTTCGTTTCCGACTCCGATTTTTGTCTCCCTTACCCAGTAAGACTGCGAAATCCGAGAAGGCAGGGATTAACTTTTATCTTTCTAATCCCAGCACCTAGCACAGCTTCTTGCACATTAAAAATGCTTAAAACAATGTTTCCAAAATAAATCCGTAAATGCATGGTACTGCCAAGTGATGGATTTCAGTAAACCTCCTCAACAGCACAGAGTAAGCAGGGGAATTTACGGTGTTCTCTCTAATGACTGCAGACTCTGAACCGGTGCTCCTGTGGTCGATGAGAGCAGGGGTTGGCTTCCACCACTCGCAGTGCAGGGGGAATAATCACACTGACCCAGCGATCAATAAGAGCTCAATTAACGCTCAAGGCTTTGAGCTAGTTGGTTTCATTTAAGAGGAGTAGTGTGATTTTACCCCCTCTGGCTCGTCACAAAGTCATCAGTATTAAAGCCTTTAACGATAATAAATTTACGATATTTCTCTGACTCTATGCTAGAGTTAGATTTTTGATGACAGATACATAGAAGATGATTTGTAACATAATTCATTGGAAATTGGTTGCACTTCGAAGGCTCATCCGTGTACAAAGCTTAAATTTCCAGCAGAGACATTTCATCATCTGAGAGGAGAGCGGGTCCGAAAGCTCTGCCCACGTCCGTGGCTGGCTGTATCTGCGCAGCAAACACCTGGACAGCAGCTTTGGTGACATCCGATTATGCACCTCTCATACGTCATCCGGTCTTTGCTTGTCAGAGAGATGACGAAGAGCTTTCTCCTCATGCAAAGACTGTACAGAGGAAATTATGAGTTCTAGGTGGTCGTGCAATTTTTTTAATATTGAGAAGCATCAATCATAACATAGAAAATTCCAGAAGCCCAAAATGCCACCGAGTGCCCCTTTCCTGAGTAACTCTTGCGGCCACCATGGCTGTGGTAAGATGACCACAGAATCCGTTACTCACGCTGGGGCGTTTCTGAGAAGGAAGAGATGGCCCGTTAGTCACTGTGACCAGGCGTGAACCGCAGGCCCGGCTGCCACGCTGTGTCACCCTAGTGCGTGCACGTGTCAGCGGTCTCAGAAGCCGAGCTCGAGGGGAGGTGGCGGCAGTGGCTTCCCCGAGAGTCACTTCGATGCCGAGTGCCAGGTCTCATTCCTCCTCGGCAGGGAGCCTGGCGGAGATCAAGGGGCCTCATCTGGGACCCGCCCTGGGCGAATTCCAAGCCACTCCTTGTCCAGGAGCGACTTCTATTCCAAACCTGGCTATTCCGGTACAAGGGCTGAGTTCACAAAACGACCAGGAGTGAGAGGAAGCGTGGGGGTTCGGAACATCACTGCGCAAAGCCCGTTGCTGTTTGCAGGTGACGGTTCTTCGCAACGGCCCGTCTGCGGCCAGGCCGGGCCCTGGAGCGGCCCTACGCCCGTCTCTCCTTCCAGGCCAGAACGAGGGGCCCAGGCAAGCGGTGTGGGCGATCTAGGTCACTGTCGCGGTGGCGGACACGCTACACGCCCCGCAGAGGAATTTCGGCTGATACCGGTCGCCCCAACCCGAGTCTGGGAACCGTTCATGAGCCTCCCCTCCCCCTCCGTTATCAAGGCGTCAAGGGCAGGTGGGCGGCCACTGCGAGAGGCGGGCTTGTGTGCGTGTGACCGTACGAAGGCCCGAGGGACATTTCTCTTTACGTGCCCTGCCTCTTGCTCAACTGCCCACCAGCCTGGGGCACAGGAGAACAACCCAGCAGTGCTGGCTTTGGACGTGCTCCCTGTGTGTGCCCCACGGAGAAAACCCCCGCTCAGCAGCAAACCCGGTCACGGCGCGAGCTACGAAGGTCACCTGAGCTGGCAGTCTGTCCTGCTTCGTCCTGGGGAGTGCGTCTGGGGCGGCGGCCTGGGACAGGGCCTCCAGGTACGGCAGGTAGCGCTCAAGGGCCTCAGCCAGCGCGGCGTCGCCCTCCAGACCGTGCCTCCTTCCATCGTCGACGCCGGGCTGTGAGCTCCTGAAAGCGAGAACACCATGAACCAGCCGCTCTGGCCCCTGCCGGACGCGTCGCGGGCCCAGGAGCAGGCGCACGGGGCACCTCAGTGGCCGTGCAGGGACCAGGTCGCATGGCGAGGTGAGGCCCGAGCCCCCTTCGCTCTCACTGACCGGGGTTTGAATCTGTCGTGCGCCCCCGAGCCTGCTGCCCTGATGTGCAGGGGGAGCCAGGAGGCCTGTCCCAGAGCCACCGTGAGGGCTGCGGTGACCCGAGCAGAGGGCTATTCTGAAAGCACATTCTCAGCAGCCGCCCCCCTGACTGCCAGGAGAGAAACCAGTAACGGAAACCGTCGGTCCTCAGTCCGAGTCCAGCAAGGGCGAGAGGCAGAAAGAGCAGGGGGGACTGCGCCCCAGGAGGGGCCTGAGGCCTGAAGAGTGGGCGGGGGAGGGGCAGGGCAGGAGCGAAGCTGAGGGCTGAGGGGGGCTGGCCCTGGACGGGCTCTGGGAGCCCTGGCGGCTGGAGTGGAACGGGGAACTGAGCACGTTACCGGGCAGGCGGGCACCTCACACGCTTCGCCCTAAGCAACGGCTTCTGTCACGCCCGCTGATGGCACATCCAGAAGTGGCAACACCCCTCGACCCGCTGCCCAGCCCGGACCTACGGGGTCACGACCGATTCGTGATCCCCGCACAGCAGCACAGTGCTTCAGGCTGACCTACGACAGCTGCCCACGTCCACCCACATCCCTCCATCCCCACGGCTACTGCCTGACCCCAGCCACCGCGAGGCCATGGCTGGACGGCTTGAGCTGCCCCTGCTCTCACCCGCTGCGACCCTCTGGGGAATGTAGCCAGGCCGACCACGTACCGCTAAAAGCACCAGGCACACCCTAGTCCCCGTGCCATGAGCTCAGAGACGCCTTCTCCGGCCATCCAGTCTGAAGGATGTTCAGTCAGTGTTGTTAGATCCTCTTGAATCGTTTTCTTTCGGCATTTATTACTAGCTGAAGTTACCGTCTTTATTTAAACATGTGCTTTTTGATGCTAGGTGGCCCTTCGCTAGCATGGGAGCTGCCTGTGGGAAGGGGCCACGTCTTCCTGTATTTTTCTCGTTCACTGCTCTAACCCCAGAATTGACACCTGAGCTCAGCTCTCGGTAGGCACCAAAAAAATGCGTTGCCCGAATAAATGAACTAGAATACATCCATTAAATTCTGCGTTCACAGAGAGTTAGCCCAAAACACATTATTAACCTGTTAAATGACACGTTTTCTAGTGTTAAGAATGCGTCTCTGTGTAATCTGAAAACTATTATCACTGGAGTTGAATTTAGGGTAACAAAACTGGTGAACGGGGAGCGATACAAATCATGGGCTCGTTTGAAAGAAAAATGTCTCGTTTCCTTTTTCAGGGAAAATAATTTTTAAAATTACATAAAAACACGACACTGTCGGTCTCTGGTAGCCCTTTATGACAGCCACGAATGCCGTCTGTGTGGAAAGAACCGGATGCCTCTCCCGTGTCAACTTCCACATCCTGCGAGTGTGCTCTCTGCAGAGTGGGTGCTCAATGAGCGAGCACGAGGGACGGTGCTCCTGGCATTTACACAGCCACGTGTACCAAATGCCCTTGATCTTCACGTGAGCAAATACGGGGCTTTAAAATTTGAGTGGTTCATCTCATCTCCCACAAGTACCCACGGCGTGGAACAAGGACGCCCCAAACAACAGCTGACGTGATGCCGAGGTGGGGCTTCGACAAAGTGGCGCACGCGACGGACGCGGCTCTGGCTGTTTCTTCCTCCTCCTCATCCCGTCTCTGCCAGTTTTATATTTGGAGAGAATTGGCCTTTAAGTCATAATTTGATTTTCACTTTTATTTATAAGAGTACCGAATATGATAGAGGTTTACGATAATTTCATATTTGTGTTTCATTATCTCCATGATAAAACAGTCCTGTTTTTAATTCTAATGCCTTTTTAAGTTATACCGGCTCACTCTAAATAGGCGTCTAAATTATCAAGAGCGTCACAGTCCTTTGCGTCTCAAATCACGGCTATAGTTTCCCTGGCCGTTTTTTAATGGATGAAATTTCATGTCCTATGTTGTTAGAGTGTAATTTAACTGGAGTCGATTTACTTTTTTGGTACTTTGTCTATTTTTCTCACTAATTGCTAATCAATGCAGATAGAACCACCCCATAAATGTGCCTTTAAATTGTCTTATTCATCTTCCGGTGTGCCCGCTCGGCCGCAGATTTGTGCGTGACACTGTAATACGTTACAGTGATGAGAGTGTCCATCATTGTGTTGCGCAATATTGTAGCAATTAACTTGCAAATTGGCTTCTGCCCTGTTATTGGCTTACGTAGGCCAAAACTTTATGTCTACATTACAGGTCCACTTCGAAAAGATGAACGGTGCCTTCTACTTGTCTCCACCACATTCGTGTGCACTGACCTCCAGGTTCCAAATAATATGAGATGTATTTTAAGTTGTCACCCACTTTGCCGGAGGAAAAGAATCCGAATTATAAGCAAAATCTTCGCCAAGAGCACACGGCGAACCTGGTTCTCTTTCCTTTCCTCGGAATCCCGACCTCGCCTAATAATCATTCAGGGCCCTTTTTATTTTTCGCACGAAGCCTTCACAACCACCCTGACCCCGAGCTTCTGGTCGCAGTTCTCAGTGGGGCTATGGGTTCAGCACGGACCGCAGGCCTGCGGGTCACCTCTTCCCGCTCACAGGGGCTTCAGCAAGGGCGTCCGTAGGTTCTTGGGTCCTCGGCGTCCCCTCGGCCTCCCAGCCCTGCTCCGCCCACTCGGCACCCGTCACCGCCGCTTTGCCGATGCTCCTCACGGCGCCTCGCTCACACGGTGCCCCCTCTGCTGCCCCGAAGGCACGCCCTCACGCCCCTCTGCCCCGGCACGGATCCCGGCTGGGGCTCAATCTCTCTAAACATCAGCTGTCTTGTGTGAAGAACGCCAAGTACCATCTCGTTGGCCGATTGTAGATACTTACAAATCTAATAGGTGTAGAATGCTCTGGAAATGCCCTGTGGAATGAAGAAGTCAGGCAGGATGCGTGGCTAGTGCAGGGACTCATATAATAATTCACCAGCATCGGGCGATGACTCGCTCTCTCTCTCTCTCCATTATTAACAGACACGGAGAGACGGCTGCCTAGTGAAAGGCACGTGGCAGGTGCGGGGACAGGCTGCCCAGAGGGGAAGCTCGGAAGAGGGCAGGGAAGAGACTGGAGGCGGCGGAAGCGGAACAAGCT